TCAATCAGTAGCTGTAACGCTGGGGTATGAAGTTATGCGGTGGTTGTGGAGTTGCCTGCTGTTTAACATCTCTGTTTCATGGCCTGGTGTTGGGAGGGATGCAACACTTATTCTTAGCTTCAGTTTCTATTTAATTCTTTCTCTCTTCAGTCTATCCAATTGATTTCCCATGTAGTTTCAATGCAGTACGCATCCTGGCTGAAATTCCTCGGTAATGTTGTTGTGTGCTCTTACAGAGTTGCCATGTTTCACGCTGGAGCTCTCTCTCCTTCGTCATGAGGGATGTAATCCTTCTGCATCCCAACTGGACTGTGAGGATTAATTAAAGTTTGCAGTGTGCTGTGAGTACCTTGCATGCTATTGAAGTGGAAATTATTGTTTGTTACAGCCAGCCTGAATGCCATCTGGGATTTCCATGTTATTGTTTCAGCTCTGTTGTACATCATCAAGCTTGAGCTAGTACCATGAACAAAAGATTAGCATTGCGCTCCGTTGCTGTAGCGTGTTTGGCGCTGTGTCCAGTGCCTATGTGAGGCCACACACATCCTGAGAAGCTGTGCTCGGCACATGAAGACTCCAGGGGCTTTTCTGTAGCTTGAAGCCTGCAACATCACTTTCCTTTTTCTGCACTTCCACTCTGATATGGACTGGATCCACAGAGCCCTGGATCCCTTTGGCCTTCTCCACTGTCACCCTTGCCTGCTATTAACTTCAAGTCAGCTTTGGGAGACTGCATAAGAAATGATGGTGGAATTGGGCTCTGCATTTTGCAAAAGATGCTTTTTCCCATGCAACAGGATTGTACCTTTGTGTGGCATCTGAAGTCCTATGAGGACATGGCGAAAAGGGCTGATCTTGTCTGAGACCCAAGCCAGCGATGCAAGTGATGCATAGCCATCCCGCAATATTCCTGTATGCTTGTAACACCTACAAAATCTAACCCAAAACTCATTTTGCTACTTCACTGTGAGATCCTTCTTCAATCTCTGCAGGGCCAGATTAATATCTCTGAACTAAACAAATCGCAGCCATGATTTGTTACTCTGCTTTTATGCACCAGCTTTAGTTCAGGTAAGAGTGCATTTTAAAACACATTCCTGTGATTTCACTGTCTTTGTAAGCCACAATAAACAAATGGAGTTTAAACAACTGTGGGAACTTCCCCAGTATCGTGACAGATACTTCTAATTGACAGAAAAAATGGCAGAAAATGTAACCACCCAATTCATTTGTGAGCTTTCCTTGGGAAAGAGATCAGCTAACAAACAGTGTGAAGTTCACCTCCTAACTGAGGGATTATTATCTATTTTACCTAAATAAACTGGGAGGCTTGACCTTCCTAAAAGGGCACTATTAAAGAGGTGCAAATGTAGTCCTCTCACCACACTAATTACTGCTGGTTACATTTTTGTAGATGTGACAGGTTTCAGTTTTAGAGTTAGACCCCAATGCTGAGTGCTAAATAAATACCTACTAAATAGCTAGATGCTATCCCACTGAGCTTCGTGTTCCCTCGCTCCCCCCATAGCATCAGACTCTCCTCATCCTCTGAAGCGTCCCTTCTGGTTTTGTGAACGAGCACAAAATTATTTTGGCAGGAATTCCACTGTAACTGTTCTTCAGTGAGGACAGCATCATGTGCATTGCTCTTCTTCTCCCCTCCTCCCCTCCATGAGACATTGGTTTCTGTTTTTATGAAGAAAAGCATAGGCGGTATCCACTTTCAGATTCTGGAGCCAGCTTAGGGAGCAATGCCTATTTGATAATTTTCAAGCAGCCCCACTATGTGGACTATGTTTGTGTCTACACATCTCCAACTTGCTGTCTGATTTCCATTGATTTTTACTTAATGTCTTCAGAGATATTAAGCTCTTAGAAATTTCATAAAAATAGGCAACTGGTTACAGAAAATAAACTGTATTAGTGACCCCATCAGGCAAAGGTTTCAGCAAAGGTAATAGTCATCTCTGGCATTTGACCTGGTACTGGGGAAGCAGCACGGAGAGCTCAGAAACATGCGTTGCCTCTTAACCCAGCCAGTAGCTGGGAGCAAGGAGATGAGGTTATAAAAAATGTGAACAGGAAGCTCCAGGTGAAATTTCAGGGAATATGGGGCTTATGACAAATCTGTAGCAAAGTTGAATAGAAAAATGTAGGAGATGAAACAGAGTGTTAAAGGAAAAGAGAGGATGGAGAGGAGATGCAAAAGGGGTAGAAGCATTTAGGAAAGAACTGTTGGGGCAATGGAAAAAAGGGGCAGATCTGGGTAGGGGAGATTCTGGGAGTGACGGATGAAGAACTGGGAAGAACAGAGAAGAGACTGGGAATCAGAATGAAAGAATGATAGAGGAGAAACAGACATCTAAATTTTTATTACAATATAAATGCAATTTATTGTCATTATAGCTTCTTTAATTACCTTTCAACCTTTTTTTAATGATGCCCATATGTTGCAAATAACAGGGTTTAATGACTTTTGTTCTCTCACCTTTCCCATGGCTTACATTCCCACTTTAATTACTACACTGACATCAGATGCCTCGCCTAACGTTTTTGCACCAGTGCTCCCTATTTGCGGTGATATCGCACTTGGGGAAACAAACCCACCTGTCTTTTCTGGTCGAAGGCTACTTGCTGTTCTTGTGGACGTCCACCAGATGGCAAAGCCGGTATTTTTGTAGAGTTTCCAGGCCACCTTCAGATACTAATTTCCCCTAGGGAGACTAGGGGCTCGTTTAACAACAGTTCATTTACTGCATAGATTAAAAATGGTGATTAAAAATACGTGATTAGATTCTATGTGGATTTCCTGGGAATAATAATAAAACAGGAAAAGAAACGATGCAGTTGGAAAATGGTGGTGCCATCAGGAAGGCACAATGTTCACTCTAGTCGCTGCATCTCTGTATGAGGAAAACAAATCTCAAGAATCTCTGAGTGAATACTACTACTTTTTCTATTGATATAAATTTTATAGAGACAATAATGTTTTCTCATTTCTAGTCTCTTTGAAATTGTTGTGACTAAACCAGGTCTTAGAACAAAATCCACGGTAAATAAAACTGTAACTGCCTACGACTTAGCCAAAATGTAATTTCCTAGCTTGTGTGGTTATAGACATAAGAATAGCAATGAGGCTTGTTAACACCCTTTTCCCTCCAACCTGCCCTCATGGTGTCAAGATTGTAATTATGGAGATAAGCACTGATCACCTTCCCTTACCTCTGTAGGGTTTACTTACTGTTTTACCCATGTCTGTCATTTATTCATTGAAACTTGGTTGCATGTATATGCAGTACAAAGAAATGGAGAGTTTCCTGAAGGAGGCTACATCTGGATAGCATTTGTAGTAAATTAATGTAACTGTATCAGTACACAAGCTTTGTACAGATAGGGCACATATCTAACATTTTAAGATGCTGAATATTCTTAATCACTTGGCTTAACTGTCCATTGCATTGCCCCTTCATATAGTGCACTATTTCTGCTGAAAGGCCTATACGAAAGGCAACAAAAAAGATCAAGTCCCTTTAGCTTCCTCTAAGAAACTTAAGCCCTTCTCCCTGCAAAATACCCCTACGTCAAGGCACTGTTTAGAGACTTAAACTAAAAAACAGAGGGGGTGAATTTACCATTCCTTTTAAAGAAAAAAAATTCCATGTCTTCTCAGGTTTGGTTTCTTTTCTAGTGGTAGGAACAAGGGAAGGATGATTTGCTTCAATGGTTTTGTAGGTTGACCTGAATTCTGCTTCCAGCAGAGGAACCATTGATGGGGGTAAGAGGGAACGTTACAGCCTTTCTCTTCAGCTGGCTGGTTGGCTTACAGCTGGCATCAAGTATATTTGTTCAATGGCTCCCAATCAATTATATCCTGTAGTACTCATTTTTCTGAGTATCAAGACACAAGTAAAAAGATGAAGCTGTTCCCACTCCAAGCAGATATTAGGGTAGTGTGGAAAAAAAGCTGGTCCTATATTTGGAGCGTTCCTAATTGCACTGTTCTATTTCCAGCTGCCGAAATCTGCGCTAGAATTTTAATTAAGGGCTAAATTCGTGCAGCAGATCCTAACAACAGGAAACAGTTATGTTATTTAAATAGGCTTTGAAATGATGAGATTTTTATCTCCCAAAGCAGCACTCGGATGAATATTAAAGCCGCTTTTGTTCTTCTGGAAAGGGCTGCAATTGCTCAGCAAGCTGAAGGAGGTCCCGGCCTCCGCTCTGGAAAACCACTAACGCCCGGCCAGCTGCCGAAAGGACCGCCTAGGCCAGGCAAAAAGTCATTTCCTGACACACATCGCACCCCTTGGCACAAAACCCAGGGGGGAGCGCTCGGTGGAGTCCCGCACACAACCTCTGCCCGCTTCTTCCCCGCGCGGGGGGGCCGCGGTTTGCCTCAGGCCGGCGGGGCACACTGCCCCCCGGCCCCAAGATGTCGGCCCCGAAGCCTCGCTCCC